TATAATAAAATGTTAAAAGGAGAATGTGACTGCTCCTTTTTATGATGAAGTAGTGACATGTACACCTTTTAGAGGAATGCCGTCAAGCAAATAGTCAATCTGTATTTACTCGTGTAGCAAAATAATTTGAGCAATTACTCTGTGCTAGAGGTAAAGCAATAAACCAAGCATAGTTTCTGGCATTGTATTCATGATAGTTGATATATTTCTTTATATATATTGAATCAATACTATTTTTGGTACTTATTGCTGACTCTCTCAAAATATACAGTTAGGCAATGAAAATTTAATAAATATCTTAGTATGTAAGAAGAATACATTAAAATAGAAAGGTTTTAACCAAGTTCGGCTTAGTACACCTAGGGCTCTGCTAAAAAAATACATAAAAGCTCGGTGTATGAATTTAAAATGCTATAAATCAAGGGTCATGTAAAAGATGAGATAACCATGTTTTTTTAAGTTCATTTAAAAATATCATTCTTTTTGAATAATTCCAGATAACATATTTTCTCGCTGGAATGCTGCTTGTTATACATTACATAAGATTCATAATTACATTAGGAAGAAGCATTAATATTTCCTCATTTATATTAACATTTGGATTTATGTTTATTAAATGATCTGAGGATATTAGCATTAACAAAAAAATCATATCTAGATACAGCTGCCTTCTGCAAACATATGACATCATCTAAAGCTAGCTGACACAGGTTATTTTTATATATAATATAAAATATTATATGCATGATAATAGAAGCACCATATACAAAATATAATTTTAAGAGTAATTATACACATGTTTCTGGAAGGTTATTATATAAAGTATATTATGAATTTACTTTCTTAAAAGAAAACTCTTACTTCATTTCTTTGCTAATTACCAAATCTTTTAATAACTATTCATTGTATACTAAATAACATACAGGATGCTTTGCCTGATATAAAACCTTCCTTGATCTTACCCCAATTTACTGTTATGACATTTTCTTCCATTATTTCAATGTATCCCATTCTTCATCTAAACTAAATTTTCCCAGTTATGTTCTGCATTATTCCACCTATTGTCTTTCCCCCTAGTTGCCAGCGCTTAGACTGTCTCCTGAACTGATCTCTGCGTGTCTGAACCTACCTATCATTTTAAAGACAGTATTAAATCTAACTCGTCAATGAAGCCTGTTCTAAGTTTTCTACTAAAAAGAAAATTCAGAGGAGATTCAAATTCTTTGGCATTTATCTATAGTTTTCTCTACACTTTTATAAAGATTTTACAATTTTATCTTGTGTTTTTAGTCAGTCACTAAGTATTAAACATGTATTAAACACTTGGCAAGCAGGGTGTCAGTGATGTATCTGGAGTACATGTTGGATAAAAAAAATAAGGAAGTACATTTTCTAGTGAGAGTTAAAAATTATTACAAAATCAACAAGATGCTGTATTTTCTTTTTATTACCACCATGTGTCAACAATTGTACACAGTAGCAGTGCCAAAATACAACTGCCAGAAAAGGGTTTTGTTTGTCCAAGATCTAAATAATTGCTGTGGTTACCATGGTGTTTCTATTATGTACATGTACACATGTGTGTATAGTTAGCCTCTAACACACCTGAACCCAGCTACACACATGTTCAAAGAGTACATTCACAATGACTTGGAACCATTTGAAATTTAAATTTTTTTTTCTATATTGATTTTTTTTTTGTTTTTAGAGAGAGAAAAAGGGAGAGGGAGAGAGAGATAGAAACATCGAGGAGAGAGAACATCAATTGGCTGCCTCCTGCATGTCCCCCAGTGGGGATTTGGCCCATAATCTGAGCATGTGTCCTGACCAGGAATTGAACCACCAACCTCTTGATGCATGGATCGATGCTCAGCCACTGAGCCACACTGGTCAGACCAGAACCATTTAAAATTTAAAAATGAAACTGTGAGGTATGATATCTTATCTGTTAACTGCAAATTTTAGTTCATAAAATATTTAATTTGGAGGTCTTTATATTTCAAAATTATTCTTTTAAAATTATTTGTTGTAACCCTAAAGAAGAATTCTATAAAACATAATTATTAAGTAATAATTATACAGAGCTATTACTAAAATAATTCCATTGTTTTGCAGAGAGGGATGTAAAACATGATTCACTCTGGTGTCATGGCACATCCTTGGTATCAGGTGCTAAAGCCACAAAGATGGCTAGGGTCTCTGGTCTTGAGGAACTTAATTACCTTCTTAGCTCTTCCCTCATATAAGAGGGATCTGAGATTTGCTCTGTTACTATTATAATGTCAACTTAAAAATTGGATGTCCATATTTCCATGTTAACTCCGAAAGGGATCCCTCCCTCCTCCTCTTCCTTTCTTCAAGAATAGCAACTGTTTATAGACTTTCAATTCTTCTGTTTGAAGTAGTCATTTAGATGCGTTTCTCAATATAATTTAACTTTCAGAGATAAAAGGAGCACTGGGAAGGCCATTCCTAAATATTCAGGCTTAAAATTTGCAAATGAACTTCTTATTAACTTCACAGATCAGATTACATGAAGGCTAAAACCTTTTATAGCATTTATATTTAAAAATAAGTACATTAATGGAAATAGTGGCCTAAAAGTAATTTTTGGAAATCAAAATTAAGTACTTAATATAGTTATATCATGAAAGAGTCTCATTTATTGTAAATGTAACAGGTCTAGTTGAGTCAAACAAAAAAATCATATGAATTTAGTGTTCATACGGACATATTAAATTAAAGATTAAGAACTATATATCTATTTTTGGTGAATTATCTAGTAGTGTAACTGCATTGAGTGGGGTGACAGAAGAAATACTGAAAATTACTAATGACAGCCAAGAGGGAAAAGTACAAAAGGCGGCTTAAAATTCTGAACAGAGTTTGTCAATGACTATCACAGAGATAAAGAGACTATTACAGGAGTCAGTGTAAGGAGATAGAAGAAAACAGCAACAACAACAACAACAACAACAACAACAAAATAAGAGCTTTCCACCAGAAGATTCAAGAAACGAAAAGGAAAATGAAGCCTAAACTGGGAATGCTAAATGCCCACGAGAAAGTGCATTATCAGCCCAGGAGAAAAGAAAGGGAAACTGTACTGAAAAGCTGTACAGAAGAGACAAAAGGATGTCACATGCCTCTACAGAAGATTCCTGTGAGCAAGAACCTGTAATTTTAGAAAGAGAAGTGAAAGCAGCCCTGAAAATATTGTGAAGAAATAAATAACCAGGGTTAGATAGATACTGATAAAATTATTTCAAGCCACAGAGACTGAATTGTCAGAATCCTAACAAGAAAATATCAAGAAGTACGGAAAACAAAACAGTGGCTTAGAGACTAAAAATGTTCAATATATATCCTCATTTTCGAGAAAAGAGATGCCAAGGTGTGCAGTAACCAGGGCCATTGCTCTAATTTCCCGTGCAAGTAAAGTGATCCTCAAGGTGATGCAGCAAAGACTTCTACCTTATATGGAGCAAGAAATGCCAGATGTTCAAGCTGGATTCAGAAAAGGAAGGGACACTTGAGATCTAGTTGCAAGCATTTGTTGGATACTGAAGTACTCCAAAGAATTTCAGAGGGATAACCTCTGTTTTATAGACTACAGTAAAGCCCTTGACTGTGTGAATCATGAAATGCTATGTAAGAGCTGCTCTGAAGGAAATGGGCACTTGGTCGTCTTGGTGTGTAACCTGTGCGATGGACAGGAAGCCATTGTCAGGACAGAATGCAGAGCGACAATAGTTTCCTGTAAGCAAAGGTTTCAGACAAGGGTCTGTTTTATCTCCCTTTTGGTTTTATCTGTATGTAGAAAAAAACTGGACTTTACTCTGAAGAACCATCAAGAAAAAAAGATAGTCATTAGAGACCAAGGCCAAGATCATCCACATCCGTGTATTTCCAGTTACTATGTATGAATGCAAAGGCTGGACAAAGAAGGCTCATAGGAAAAAATAATTTATTTGAAATATGGTTTTGGAGGAGAGCTCTACAGATGGACTGAACTACCAGAAAGACAAACAAGTGGTCCTGGAACATTGTTCCACTTTGGGCTCATCGTGAGAAGGCAGGGTTCTTTGGCAAAGACAATAATACAGGGGGAAATAGAAGGAGCAGGAAAAGAGGAAGACCAAATCTGAGATGGATTGACTTTATAAAAGAAGTCACAGGCACAAGTCTACTGGAGCTGAGCAGGGCTGAGGACAGGGCTTTGTGGACATCACTCATTCATAGGGCCACCAGGAGCTGGAGTTGACTTAATGGCATGTAACACACATAAACCTGTGCATTCCGTTTAAATGCTTATGTTTTCCTACATATCTGAAAAACATTTTTAATGAAATATTTGAGAATAAAATAAAATACAGAAAAACAGGATTGCTTTTATATGTATGTTATTATGTATGTTTATATTGCCTTGGAGTTTAATTAGTAGGCCAGTAAATTTAGAAAATATTACTTTTAAGTCTATACCAAGGCATATTTTTAAGGATGCAAATATTGACCTAAATCATATACATAATATACAAGTCAGTGCTAGCTAGCATTTATGCAAGTTTAATATACTTAAACACTTCACACATTTTTTTTCATTTAGTCATCAAAATAGCCACATTTCAAAGCATTAATTATATTTTATCTATGAGAAAACAGAGACTTAGAGAAGTAAATAGCTTTTTGTAGGTCATTGAGCAAGAATGGGCAAAGATGGGAGTTGATTCTAAGCCTGCCTTATTTCCTTGCAACCTTACATGCATCTGCTCATTCAGTAGAGGTAGGCTGCTCACACTGCATTCATTTAGCCACGAGAAAAGTGTTTAATGTTGAGGGACAAAACTGTCTTTCCCCTCATTTCAAAGTTCAAAGACTGAAATATGTAGGCTCTCTTTGTAAGCAATGGCATTAATAAGACACCGCCTGTAATTGCCACCGGTTTCCATTGGTGATGGAATCATGATGGTAAATCTGTACCTTTATTCACTTTTTTTCAGAATGACGTAGGAGGACAGCGCAGCCTGATAAACAAATGGACGACTTTTCTTAAGGCCAGATTGATTTGCTCAATTCCTGGAAATGATGGGGCAGATACTCATTTTGATGAACTTCGTAAGTCACGTGTTCATTTTTCTTAAAAAAAATAAAAATAAAAGTCTTATTGCCTAATTAAGTCAGCACTCATTTTATTTTAGCCCCAAATGCCTGATTATATAGCCCAGTACAACTTGCCAGAATGGTTCTTACTGAATTTGCACACATGAAGAATACGGAAGTGCTCTAGGTCTGCAAGGAAGCAATTCTTTTTGTAAGGGCCCTCAATGTTAAGAGGGAAACAAAACTACAGCAAGAGACGGAAAGATACTAGCTCTGGGACTACCATGCCCATTCATTTCCCATGCAGGCTTTCACATTGGAAGGAGCCACTGTCTGGATGTAGGTAGCAAGGCATTGTGTTCCTTGTCCTGTGGACGCCCTCTCCTGGAGAGCATGGGAGATTGGGCCAACTCTGTCCCTCCAACTTGTCAGTAAAAATAAACACTCAGAGAAGCACTGGACAGATTCTGTCTTTCATTCCCCACCTTCTGTCCTCTCAAAACTAATTCAAGAAGGAAAAATTTCAGTTTCAAGTTAGCATTATTAGCTTTTGTCTTCTTGAACTTGTCTTTGTTGGCAATGTAAAAATGGTTGCATCATTGATGATTTTGTCAGGATTGTATTTTACAGTATTAAAGTATATATTCAGTATTCATGGATGATCTTTAATGTTTACTGTAAGTATGCTCACATATTAAATAATCTTTTAAAAATATTATTAAACATACTTGTGTTAATGCTGCACAAGTAATTACACAAGTAATACCATACAAATAATTAATTTGTGCAGCTATTTTTATACTTTAACCAAATAGGTAATTGAATTACTACTAAGTTGACAAAATTAAGAACATTTTTTACACTGGGGAATAAAATTACCTATGTTTGCTCTGGTGGGTTTGGCTTAGCAGTTAGAATGTCGGCCTTCGGACTAAAGTGCTGTGGGTTCTATTCCTGCTTGAGAGCACATACCTGGGTTGCAGGTTTGATCCCCGACCCCAGTCGGGGTCATGTGGGAGGCCACCAATCAATGTGTCTCTCTCACATTATGTTTCTCTCTCTCTTTCTTCCTCCCTTCCACTTGATCTAAAAATCAATGGAAAAATATCCTAAGGTGAAGATGAACAGCAAAAAAACACAAAACCTGTGTTTAATTTATATTCAATGTGAAATCATCAACTCCTATTGGAAATAGTCATGGAGATTATCAAGAAAACCATTCCATTTATAAGTGATTGAAGTACACACCTAAGAGGTTAAATGTCCAACTCCATGTCACATAGTTCATAGGAAAACCAGTCTTTTACCCTAATTTCTTATGTAGTAATGTATTGACTTTCACTGTTATCTTCATTTTATATACTGTTTCAAGTCTCAGAAATATTGTATTATTGAAGAAAAAAGCAAACATGTAAACTCAAAAACTAAAAATATAGTGAATTGTTATTTTTTCCCATTAACAGAAGATATTTACTTACTCCCCACAAGAGATGAAAGAAATCCTGTAGTATATGGAGTCTTTACTACAACCAGGTAAGTTAAAAAAAAAGCTTGTAATTCTTCTAGAGAATTGTTATATATAAGTAAGAAAATACAGTCAATGTTCTTTTGCCCCTTCCTTTTGTGTGAAAGATATACATTTTTTATTTTTCTTTTCACCTCTCGTTTCATAGAAATCTTTAAATATCAATACATAAAATGTCTCATTCTTTTTTACCCTCTATATCATTTGCCACAATTTATTTCAACAGTCCCTTGTGCACAGACATTTCCATTGTTTCCAATCCTTTACTAGTACACATAATGCCTCAGCGACTAACCTTGTACATGTGCCACCTCCTGTGTGAGCAGGTATATCTGTGAGCTCAGTTCTGAGACTAAAATGACTGGGTACAAAGGCATAGGCACACCCTGATCAGAATGAGTATATCAACTTGCGTGACATCGAGGTAGCACTAAAGAACTACACGTCTCAGTCTTTGGCTAAGCTGTAATCAGGAGATTGGACACTCTTGACTTTTTCTTTTATCCTCACTCGAGGACATTTTTGCATTTATCTTCAGAAAGAGCAGGAGGGAGAAAGAGAGAAAGAGAAACATCGATGTGAGAGAGACACATCAACTGGTCGCCATCCACACGACCCCAACCAGGGCCAGGGACAAACTGCAACTGAGGTACATGCCCTTTGCAGGAACCGAACCCAGGTCTCTCTGGTCCGCAGGCCAATGCTCTAACTGCTGAGCGAGCAACTGGCCAGGGCAGAACTCTTGACTTTTAAAATGACATTACATGCTATCTTATTTGTGCTTCCTCATGACCCTATGAAGATGGGAGTTTGGCTGCTATTATCACCATATCATCACTGCTCTACTAATATAGGCAAGGTGAGTTTTTATACTTGCCACAAAAAAAAGGAGCCTATTAGTAGTAAAAATGGGACAAGAGCTAAAAGTGTTCTCCTCATTTTCTATGCTGTATTCTTTTCTTCTTTATGCATAAAACTGTCCTGTATTTGTCACTGAATCTCTGTGACTTTCTTAAAAGTTTTCCTTGCATCTATGGAACTTTCTTAAAGACTATATGGACCCTATTTAATTTTGTTTAATATTAATTTTATTGAATTCAGTAACTTACATTGGACCATGTTCAAAGTGCACCTTTATTCCTGTTACATATTACTGCCTACAGTACATTCTCTGAAATACTTTGCACTTTTTCCCATGGCTTTGCTATCAATGTTCATCAATGCATATTGATATTAGATTTGGAGAGGTTGGCAGTGTCGCTGTAGGTATTAGAGAAATGGTCTAACTCCCTCCTTTTGATTATATTAATACACTATTTTTGTGGGAAAATTATAATTTTATTTCTGTGGCATTACCTTCATTTACATATGCATTCTACCTTATGTATAAACTTGAAGGGACTATTGGCTCAGACTATATCAGAAAACAAAATACTAGTTGGTCCATTATAAGATAGAACATGTGAACATTTCAATGTGAGAATAAAGAAGATACCCCTCAAAAGATGCTATTTTTAGCTTCATTTTCCTGCTAATTTATGTCTTAACTACAAGGTGCAGGAAGAACAAATGGCTGTAGTTACTCAAGTTACGCATCTCAGCCCAAGTCTCTTGGGTCTTTCCACGCACAGAGCTGCCTTTGAAGTTCCTGTGTTCCACACACGAGGCAGAGATGTGCCAGGGAGATGTAGCCTCCAGATAGTTTTCCTTTCTTCCTACCAAGCTTCTGCCCACCCAGGGTGTGAAATGACAAGTTAGCTTTGTTCTTGGTGTAATTTATTACCTTATTTTTAACGCCGCCCTGCAGACTGAGGTAATGCAAGCCACAGCCTTTGTCCAATGAGAAGATATAATTAATCTGCAATAATAGCAATGTCATTAAGCACGACGCATCATCGCTTTAAAATATCATAGGCAGGTCATGTGATTTTTATGGGAACATCACCTCCCTTCCTAGCAGCTAGTTTTCTCCCAGGTGCCTGGTTACGGTCAGCTCCCAGGACTTCTCATTAATGTCATTCCAAAAATATTAACGAGTGAGTTACTCCTGCTAAGAGAATCCTTAGCTCATTTGTGTAGTGCTGAGATGATATGTCTCTTTCATCATAAAGGGTGATCTTATATTTAAGAACAGGTATCATTGAAAGTTTTAGACGCAGAGAAAATGTGTTTTGATTTCCATAATTAAATTAAAAGCGTAATATCTGATAGCTGCTGTTAACAGTTTTCATCACTGGTTGGCAAAACTGCCCAGTTCCCATGGAGCTTTTCTGCCTCTTAATTATATGTGCTCCAATCCTGTGTAATTATGAATAATTTGAAGCATCAGATAAGTTACGTATGTAAACTCAAATTCAAGAAGGAACAAAAAAGATTGTTTTAACATTTTAAAATTAATGAAACATTATGTATGAGGAAATTAATAGCCAGTACTTATGGTTATTTATTCACTTTAAGAAAATAGACACATAAATATTAATTACATGTCTAAATTAATATTTTTTTAAAGTAGATAATGTACTTTTTATTTTATAAGTTCTTTAGAAGGCATTATGCTATAATAATTTTAAATAAAATTTAAAAGCATGTGGATAAATATAATACTCTTTTCTACATATTTCTTTCTATCCTCCAGTTTTCCTAGGAAATTCTTATTTATCCATTAAGGGTCACTTAGATGCCACCTACTCCCTGAAAACTTACCAGACAGCCCAGAATTGGGTACCCATTTGTGTTCTGCTTAGCTGACCGTAATTACCTGTAACATAGCTGTTAATACATTTTATTTAGGATTACCTGGCTATAAGCTCCTTGAGATCATACCTGCATTTTGTCTGCAGCACCTATCATATTAGTGCTCAGTACGTGGACAGTGAGTGAAGCGGTGAAGGATCGGATCTTGCTCTCTTTCAGCTCCATCTTCAAAGGCTCCGCTGTTTGTGTGTATAGCATGGCTGACATCCGAGCGGTGTTCAACGGCCCCTACGCTCATAAGGAAAGTGCAGACCATCGCTGGGTGCAGTATGACGGAAGGATTCCTTACCCCCGCCCTGGCACTGTATGTACTCAACTCAATAATGAAATGATTTTCTTAAGCCTGTATTCTCTTTCTGAATCTGTTGTAATAAACTGCATTCTTCACCATAGCAACAAGTACTGCAGGTTTTTAAAATGAACTATTATTTATTTACAGTCAGTCCAGAAACATCCCTGAGATATATTTTACTAAGGGATTATGAAGGGTAAATAGACATGGTTGTAAAGTGTGTTTCCCAAATTTAATTAGGTTATATTACAGGAAGATACAAAGGGAATCCAGAAAGCCTGGTTACCACGGAGGTGGCCGTGGGCATCACTTCCCTGCTCCTGCCTGAAAGAGCTGGGGATGCCACGAAGCATGGGCTCCTCGCCGTCCATGTCATTTCCTCCTACAGACACAGCCACTTCCCTGAAACGTGAATTCGCGACACCCCCATAGAGAAGCATGTCAATAAGGAGGGTTTTTCATCAAGGAGAGAAGCAGCAGCATATGATGGTAAACAGACCAGTCTGTGCTGCTGCGAACGAGAAACATAAAGTGTTGACACTGCAGATATGCTTGGGAAGAGTTCAGAACTGCCTGGGGAATAGCTGGTGTCCACACTGCCCAAGAAATACTTAACTATTTCTTCTTTTTAACAATTTCAAAACGGAAAACTATTATCAGGCATAAGAAGTGTCTGTCATTTAACAGGGTTATTCTTTGATCATTTCTAAACATCAATATTTCTCATTGAATTTCTGTGCTTTTTAAAAATGTGTGCACATATTTACATCTGAAGCTGAGCTTTGAGAATTATGCCTTGTAAATCATGTTTTATCCCTAGTTCGTTCTCAGGCCACTGCTGGTAATGGGGACACAGACGTCTCCCTCTGGACGGTAACAGAGCAGTGTTTGATCAGTAGATCGTGTCCTTTTTTATGGAACTCAGATTTTTAAAAATTATCCTAGTTATTATCAGAGGTTATTTTACAGTTTTACTTAAAAGTGTGGTGGCGGGGGTCATTCTTTCTTGTTGTTCTGAACTAAATTCAGATTATATCTATGCTGGTAGATGGGGGTAACCATATAAGGCAGTTTAAAGAATTTATTTATATAAAACAAAAATACTGAAGTATTTTAAAATTATATCTTAATGGCCAATCTTTTCTAATTGGTTCTGTGTAAGAATGGTGATGACTTCTCCTTCTGAAAGATGTGTGAGCATATCTAGAAATCTATACATAGTATCCAAAAGATACCAATTATTTCTAAGTAACTAGTTATTTTCATACTCTCTTTGAAATCACTATGACCAAATTTGAAAGTGTCTAAAATCATAAATAAATGTGTAACCTTTTTGCTTCATTACTTTATTTTTTAAATAAACATTTACTCTTTGTTTGCATACAATTCTATTAGTAGGATTTTCTACATAATATTTTATATTTTGGAGGGCTGGTGTTGAAGTTAGGAACATTATATATTATGTGAAAATATGTTATACAAATATACATTTTATAAACTAACTTTACCATTTTAAATAATTTTGTATTCATAAAGTCATTGAAATTATATTTTTCTATGTATCAAGTAAGTACACTTGTCAAATTTTGAGAATCTAAGAACCAGAATGGATACTAGAGACCACATATATCCTTGTCAGTTTCAGAGGAGAAAACTGATCCTCAGAATAATTAAATATGTTTCTCAATATTGTATTTCCAAACAGAAGGATAAAGAGGAATGTTGGAGTTTTCTGACCATTCTTCTCTCCTTTATTATTATTTTTTAAATTTTTTTTCTTTATTGATTTGAGAGAAAGAGGAAGGGAAAGGGAGAGAGATAGAAACATCAATGAGAGAGAACATCAGTTGGCCGCCTCCTGCATGCCCCCCACTGGGGATTTGCCCACAACCTGGGCATGTGCCCTGACCGGGAATCGAATTGGCATCCTCTTAGTGCATGGGTCAGTGCTCAACCACTGAGCCACACTGGCCAGGCTCTCCTTTATTCTTAATATTCTCTAAGATTCACCTATTTCCTAAAATTATCTGATTAATAATATCACTGCATGCCCTAACTAAAATTAATGGCATTTATTTGTACATAATCTTCTATATCCTCTCTCATTTGTTTTTAAGCCACCTAATTTCAATAATTTTCATTCAAATAAAGCTGTGTATGTTTTGATTCTCTACAAACCTCCAGGTCAGAAATTTTAGTCAAACGCCATTATTGAACATGCATCATGATCCACACACAGAGATAAGACCTTGCATGTTATCTCAGTACATTTTTACAACAACTTAATAGTGTAGATATTTTATGGATAAGAAAAAGGCCAGTGAGGGTAAACTCATGCTCATGGTCTCATAGCTTATGAAGTGATGAGACCGTATTAAACTTACCTACAAGTCATAACTACATAACTACAAGTCAAATGCTGTTATTTCCATGCCATTCTACCTTCAAAGTGATAAAAGTGAACAACCAAACAAAACCTTGCAGTGTTTCCCGGGTGCCAGGAACCAGCCTGGAGAGCAGAGTCCCCGAGTTCGAGCAGTGGGAATGAAGACAACAACACGGATATGGGATCAGGAGGACTGTCCTCAGCAGGATCAGCCTCAATATGCTTTTTTACATGCCTTTTATACCTGACAGCAAAAGTTTAGTGTTATAAGAAAATAGGATCTTCTTGATATAATGCCCAGGGCTACAACAATGCTGTATAGAATTAGTTTGCCTTGCAGATAACAGGAACCCCCAGGCCCACCCAGGAACCCAGTCTGTTATCTCAGGTATTTCAAGGTACATTGAATAGTCACACTTAGTCCCGAGCTACACAAGCACAATGCAAGCCTAATTCCTTGAGACTGTGGGGGAGGTTGAGTCTTTGACTCAAGACCTCCAGGCTCCATGGACTCTATCAGACACCTAGCTGGCTCCCAGCATCTCTCCCTTCTTTATTTTTTAAACTCAGTAGGTAGATTCCTGTTTGCATCTTGGACATGTTCCACATTCCTGCCTGGACGCAGACTGGGAACAGCCATAATATTACCACAATGATAGCAAGCATTACCCCCGAATAGAATAATGATGTTAATCCATGCCCAGAGATGAGTGTTTGAAATTTATCAAATAATTCTTTAGCTAATTCAGCAGGGGAAGTATCTAATGGGGGTGCAGTCCTAATAGCATTAATATCCGCATGTAATCTCGCTATATCTATTGAAAAATTTTGACCACTCCAAATCCCTAGTAAATGGTTATGTATTTTATCCCATCCCCATTCTGATTGATTATATATTGTTTGAGTTACACAAATCCATTGAAACTGAACATGACACTGCAAAGAGATCCGCACCTTTATGCTCTGAGTTTGATCTCCTATTAGCAACACTGCTTCTTCCAATGCATTAAGTTTAGCCTCTATTTTTTTTTATCTATCTTCTTCTGTGCCCCTAAGGCATCAGAAATATTTTTTGCTAAGCCATTTACATATGGAGCTGTGTGAATTTCTTGTGTCAAAGATACTCCTGCTACTGTGCGGTAGCCACAAAAGATACTAGAGCTGAAGTACCTGCAATTAAACCTAGAAACTGCTTTTGCCGATCAAGCAATGCATTTAGTTCTTTTAAGGCTTCAAGTCCCTTATTATCCTACCATTGACCATTCACTCTTACTGGTACCATGACAAATGCTGGTTGACGCAAAATTAACAAATCTTTTCCCCAATTACTGTGAGAAACACAATTGGTAAGATTGCAATTAATACATTGAATATCATAATGTCCTGAATCTTTTGTTATGATCACTTTTCCAACAATTAACACATAAGGAGGCCCAACACAGGAGTAGGCATTACCATGTGATTGCAGAGTATAACTCTGAGTCCCAGGATGCGTGATAATTAAGTCTAGATTAGTTACCAGTTTTCATGCACTTTTTTGTATGTGACCTCACTGTGTAACCAATATGCCTTCTATAAAACCCCCTGGAGTTTCTGTTAGTTGATAAGTCGATGTACCCCGGGGATTAGCCCTTGACCAGTCACCTAGGACCTCTCCTGTCCCTTCGATAGGGTGCTGTACAGTCAATCCATAGCTGCATTGTCTCCATCCTGGATAGGTTTTAAATACATGTGTAGCATTTCCACAAGGGGGCAGGTTAGAGGGAGTTATTACTTCTCCAAGCTTCTTTCCCCTGGAGGGAAATCCAGTAATGTAAATACTCCATTCCTTCTGTTGAAATGTTCCAAAACTTTCTCCGGAAGTGTTAAGTAATCCATGAGTCATCTTATGGTCCTTACTCACTCTCACACACCCAGTAGTCTCTGTTTCAGAAAAACACATAGGTGGCCAAAGAGATTTTTCTGTATAAATAAATCCTCCAGCCCACTGGGGCGTGAGACGGTCTGCAGATGGGAGGCCTAGAATTTCTGTGTTCGATACAAAAACTGGGACCATGAGATCATCCCATTCCACAGCCCTAAGCAAAGGAGGATCAGGCACATAAGCCCAATAAATCTGTTCAGCGCAAAGTCCATTACCTGGTTGGAGGTTAGAGCCGGCATCATTAGGAACATAGAGGACGGGCCAGTAGAGCCTCCTCCAGCAACCAGGTGATCCTTCGCTTCCTGTGTCAGTCTCTTGATCTGACCCCAGGTCAGAAAGCAGCCTCCCGTGTCCCTCTCGACCCCCAAGGACAAGTGCGAGGGTATTGTTGTGGAGCACGGATGCTCAGGCGGCGCATCTTGTTGGTTAAATCCACAGGTTCCATCCTGTTGGACGAGTTGCTCTGGAACCCACCGCAGATTTTGTTGATTCTTAGGAGAAACACAAATATAACCTCGCCACCAGATTAGTACTAGGTCTAGTCTTTGCCACTCGTTACTTAGGGGATCTTTCCAGTGGACTTCAGCGGACTTACCAGAGGGAGAACGCCAATGCCTTTCAGCCGCAGAGTGTCCTGATGCATCCGAATTTTAAAAATTAAGAGTATAGAAAGCTAGGTTTAAGATATTATTGGGCATAAAA